GTGTTCTGATTCTGCTGAGCTTTTCCAAACCGTCTCCATTGTCCATTCATCTAATGAGAAACTTGTTTGTGGCCCCACCCGTTGGACAAAACGCCCACTGTCCAGCCGCGTTATCCTGCACATCAGGCCGCAGCGGTGCCTTTTGACCCCAGCTTCGTTTACACTTCAAGTCTGTGATGCAGAGAAAGAAAAAGTGAGAGAAACGGGCCGAGCGGAACAAAAATGACAGGAATGAGTCATAAATGTTTGAACTAAAGATTTTACATCAGATGGAGTAGTTGGAGGCAGAGCGGGAATTCTTTTAAGATAAAATAAAGGGTCCAGAGCAGAAAGCAAATAAAGGCACTCCTGTACACAAAATACTGATTAACAGCACAGTTTACTCTGATTTAAAGTTTTATACATCAATAATTGAACATTTTTAATGAAACTACACAGACCAGACCATCTTTTAGCTTCTGGTGACTCCTAATAATAAAAACATTAAAGTGATATTTTTTAATTTTGCCTTTAATTTGATGAAGCACAAGCTGCTTCAGGTTTTATTAAATGAATGATGTCATTATTGTGAAACGTCTTAACAGACAACTTTCACAAATCTAGAAAACTAGAAAACGTTACGAGATGTTGGAACTCCTGCTTTAAGGCATTCCATCATTTTGTGTAAAAGGAATGGGCAGCGATTGATCATGGACTCCCTGAAGAGGTGTCCCATTTTATAGGGAATAGGAACCACTTGTGGCTTTGGGTTAAGGGTTAAACACCTCCCGAATACCTCTCTAATCGTGCAGCCGTAAAGTCCAAACTGGACAAAGTCTCGGTTCTGTTGTCTCCAACTAGTTTCCAACACTGGTTCCGTCAGCAGGTTTAACTGACCACTTTAATTTGTTGTCAGTGTAAACGGCCCCTCTGTTGGGCTGAAGACGCTCCCAACTGCACAAACATCCTTTAACTGCAGAGCTCCAGTAAGAAGCCTCTAGTTTTTCTGTTAAACAAACAAACAAACAAAACACACAAACACTGAGACTTAAGGTCAGACGTCTGCTTCCAAACCCAAACGACACAATCTACTACTCAGGAGGGAAACCATTTGTTTCCAACACACTGTATTAACAGGCAAAAAGGAACTCTGCTGGAAGATACTTGATACTCAGATACTCTGAGTATCTTAGATACTCTAAAGGTACTTTCAGCGTTTGTTTGTGGTGACCGGTTTACAGCTCAGTCAACATTATTAGTCAAAAGCTTCAGCTTCTGATGGAAGGACTTAGACGTCAAAGATGTTTTATTTGTGCGAGCGTTTACTCGATGTTTTCTTTGCGCTCTACTTTCACATACTTGTTCATGTATATGAATGTTTAGCTCATTCAGGTTACTATGACGTTTGGTTTGTAACTTTTAGACTTTTCAGAATATTTGAATTTATTTACACCAGTTTCCCCAGAGATGCACATCAAGATGTGTTGAATTCTTTCAAAGGATACCTGCATTATGCTGCTTTTAGCTTTTAGCTAGTATTTTGCTCCTTTAGCTTCTAGACAACATTTTGGCCAAGGGGCAGCCGGCCCTTTGGCCATTTTTTGTCTTTTAGCTAACATTGTGCTACTTTTATCTTTAAGCTAGCATTTTACATTTTTTTATTGAACAACTCAGTTTCATACAGAAGAGGATTACGGCCATGGTTTCATAATTTGAGTTCAAAATTCAGAGAAATTATAAAATATGAGCATTTTCAAGCTAAGCAATTATGAGATTATTAGATCCTTCTACCGGTGCTATTTTTGGTGTTTGTGTATGAAATTACAAGTTAACGCAGCAGCTTGTACAGAAGCAGAGGAATGCCTCTTTCAGCTCGGCACAGGCTAATCCTTCTTTTACGACACGTCTCTTATCTACAATGGAACGAACACTCAGCACGTCGGTTTTAATCATCTACCAACAGATTTGTAAATCAAAGTGCAGAGGGCAAACTTAACGCCCGATCTGAACAAAGAACACAAGCTGATCCAGTGTTACTGAGGAGCAAGACACAAATTAAAGAAATGACTTCAATTCTTGCTTCACAAAGATCGTTTCAGACATTTCTTAGACGTTTTAATTCACGGCTAATGACATGTTTCCAAGCAAAAAAACACACATTTCTAACCGAAAAGGATAAAAATGTTCTTTTCACCCGTTTGAAGTAAAACAGCTCTAACAACGACGACTAACTAAAAGATGATTTTACAATGAAAAATGAGTGTTACAGATAAACTTTGGGCCAAAATGCATATCAGGAAATACTGCGAGAACCATAAGCTCTCAAAATGCATGTTGGAGATGACACTCAGCTACTACCACACCAAGTTTAGAGCAATATCTGTAAAACGGAATTAATTATAGCCGCTTTGTTTGTTTTAAAGTCAGTTGCCTGGGGGCCACCCTCTTGATTTAGGCTAACGTCAAGCATTAATCAGTTTTAGAGGCACGTCTGATGATTATTTCCTGAATGTTTCATTAAAATCCATCCAGAGCAGCTCAGGAGATATTTTGCTAAAAACACACAGGGCAAAAACACTATCGCCCACTGTCGCCTTTTAGTGGCAGGTGATTAAAAAAGGTAAACAGCTGAGTGGAAAGCAGATAGAGTGGACTTGTTTTTTTTTTTTTTTTAATGCCACCAAATTGATGTTTTGGTGGCAACAAAAGCATTTCGTTGTTCAACAAATAAACTTATTTTGGGCTAAAAAGCTGCCGCATCGTGAAAAACAACAAAAACTGGAAAACACGGTAAACTTGACTAAAAAAACAATAATTCACCCCAAGAAATAACCAAACTGCTGATGTTTTTACGACATATTGAATAAATCCTGCTGGTTTATTTAGCAGATTTACAGCAGTTATCTGTTCTGAACTGGAGCACGGACAATCCAGGTTCTCCGAGAGCAGAATATTTAATAAATCTGAAGAACGCCATGTTCCTTCGTTGTCTGATAAAGACGCGTCGTCACAGATAAATTACAGCACAGTCAAATGTAAATAATTAATGGGTCAAATACCAAGTTCATCGAACTTTGCGTTGATAGTTTTAGACAAAGGAAGGCAACAATGTTTTCCACATGTATATCTCTGTTAGCAAAATATTTACTGAACCACTGGATGGATTTTAGTGGAATTAGAGGAAATTAATCCCTGGGCGTACTCCTACAAATGATTAATCGTGACTAAAGATGGCCGCCGCAAGAATGACTCAGTAAATGAGACAAATGTTGAGCTAAATTTTGGCGTGGTAGTAGCCGACGGTCATCATCAAAACACAGCGGTAAGATGGTTTCAATTTAAAACTCTGGCATGAAAGGAGGCGGGCGATATGCATTCCTTCAAGCAACACCAGGTCTTTATTTTTGACGTTTTCTGACACAGGACTTTTATCTCCATTTGTTAAACCCGACAAGCTCAAGATGAAGCCACGACAGGCCTAAGAGGAGAGCATGTAAATGTGGAGTCTCTGAGCAAAGACATTTATGCAAACTCTGTGCGCGCTCGCAGAAAAACAAAAACAAAACAAAACGAGGAGAAAAGCTCGGCAACAAACATCCTGTCCGGCCTGTGATCTCCTCTGTCGGGACAAGACAAACCAGTTTTCTTCTCGGCCCTGATCTTTTTTCGCTCGCAGACCTCGTGAATCATTCACCAACGCTCTGTGGCCTCCCACACCCAGCCAGGTCTGCTGGGTCACCTGAGAGCCCCTCCCTGCTCTGCTCATCCCCTCCTCTGCAGAAATGACACAACCGCCAGAGCTGTCACTCCACAGCTCCTCGCTCCCTCCTCTTTAATCAATACAGCCGGAGGAGGAGGAGGGAGTTTCTGCTCCTTTATGGAGGCAGAAAACGCCCAGTAAAGTCAAGAGGGTCTCAACGCCGAGCCTCCAGGTTCAGCCCGCTGAAATCAAACACGACTTCAACAACTGCAGCTGAAAACCCAGAACGAGGGGCAGAATTCACCCAATTTATCCTGAAGGGATCCCCTCCGAGCGCCAATGATGCCCTCCTGGAAACGTCCAAACAACTCATCTGTTTCAGCACCAGCCCGAGATCGGACCTCGATGGGAATAAATGCTGCAAAAACATTTTTATTTGCCTGCTTGGATTAAAAAAAAAAAGAAGAAGAAGAAACTACAGAAATATACGTTTAATGTATGTTTCTGAGAAAACGCAGCGTGAAGGCAAAGTTAAAAATTATTAGAACGCTAGCTAAAAAGGACCAAAACGGTTCACAGAAGCTGAAGGGGGCAAAAATGCTAGAGAAAAGCAGCAGAAGGCTAAATAAAAAGCTAAAAGTAGCAAAGGCCAAGCTCAAAGCTAAATGTAGCAGAAGTGCACAGAAACTGAAATAGGAAAAACATTAGCTAAAAGCAACAAAATGTTATCTCAAAGCTAAATGTAACACAGGTTCCACATAAACTGGAAGTAGCTAAAATGCAAGTAAAAAGCAGCAAAAGATGAGCTAAAGTAAAATAGGGCTAGCTAACGGGTTAAAAAAAAAGCCAGCTAAAACGAAAAAATGTTGGCTAGAATCTAAAAGTAGCAAAAGACAAAACTAAAAAGCTAAATGTAGCAGAATGCACAGAAACCGAAATAGATTTTTTTTTTTAGCATGTAGCAAAAGGTTAGCTCAAAGCTAAATGTAACAAAAGGTTCCACATAAACTGGAAGTAGCTAAAATGCAAGTAAAAAGCAGCTAAAGATTAGTAAGGGCTCTGAAAAGGCAAACAAGGCGAAAATTGTATCAAAAATGTTGGCTAGAAGCTAAAGTAGCAAAAGACTAGCTAAAAGCTAAAAGCAGCATAATGCAGATCTCAGAGTTTGTAAAAGAAAAGTTTAAAGTCACAGAATGAACGTTTCAAGAATGGTTAAAATAAACTATTTTAAAAAGCAGAAACTCGCTGAACACTAAAGCAGAGATTGTTTCCTGTCTGGTCACAAATTAAACCAGGTGAGGTTGGGGGGGTGGGGGTTTACCTGCACCTCGGTGCAGCTGTCCCTGTCCAGCTCCCCGATGTAGTACTGCTCCATCCACCGCCGGGCGTTCTCCGAGTGCCGGTGGGGGGGTCCCTCCAGCTCCCCACTCAGGTCCTTGCCGGCGCGGCTTCGTATCAGCGCCTCCCCGCCAGGGTGCATCCGCAGGAAGGCGCTCACGTCGTACACCCTGGTCCCCAGCAGCACCCAGCAGGAGTCCGGGGTGCAGTGGCGGGCCACCTCCCTCTCGGTGAAAAATCGGGGGGACGTGGACGGAGACATCTTGAGAGAGTGGGGGTGGAGGGGTAATGTGTGGTGGATCCACCCGAACAGAAGCCTGAACGCGGAGAGGGAGCACAGACACCTCCTCCGAGGGAGAAAACTTCTGTTTGGACCGAACTTCGGACACCAATTGACTTTACCACGGAGAGTACAGAGAGCAGAGGGGCGGGGTCCTAGAGGCGTTCACAGGCCCGGAAAAAAGTCCTAAAAATAAGAAGACACTGAAAACTGCTGGCGAGAGCTTAAAGAAACAAAACTTCTAACTATTAAACCTCGTTCGGATACAGAAGAGCTAATACTTTTGCTATTATTTGCGTGATTTTTATTTTACTTCAAAACGCATTTATTCCAGATAAGATAATGCCCGAGCTCTTCACAGTCCCTAAACGCAGCACGTCATCCCGCTGCACCTGTTGCTCTGAAAAGTCTGAGCGAAGGTACTGAAGGAAAGTCCGAGGAAAACTAACGCTTTTAAATTAATTACAGAATAAATGTCGGCGTGTTAAGCTTTAACTACGCGCAGCGACGATTTAATGTGGGCGTCAATTGAATTAAAGCGTCGTAGTCCGTAATCACTTCCTGAACAATCAAATACCTTCCACCAGACTAAAATCAGGGATTTAACGTCTTAAACGGTTATTCGAAATGACTTTTTCTAAAGATAATGATACGCTCAACAAGAAAATGCACGTTTTGTTTACATATTTGGCAACTAAACAGCTGCTTGAGTTCTCATCAGGAAGAAGAACGCGTTGATGAAGACTGATATGTCGTCTAAATTCGATTTAGAAAAATAAATTCCGAGGAAAACTTCACATCTTTTTGATGAGCGTAATTTTTTTAACGTTATCTTCGCCGAACAGACGAGAAAACGCGGCTGAAGCTGCTTTCAAATCCTGTAGGAAATACTAAGTTTCTTTTAAACGAGTCAAAAATATTGAGCAACATTTCGCTTTGATTTATTATAAAGACTCTAATGATAAATCTGTACAATCGACGCTCTTAATAAATAGCTGTATAAAGGCGTAATATATTACAGTAGAATCTCAAGTTTGACGAATTGGAGAAATTACGCGTATTCCTGAAGGCACCACTAGATGCAGCTGTTGTTTAATAGCACCCTCTAGCGGTGATTCAATTCAATTCAAAAATACTTTATTAATCCCAGAGGGAAATTATTTGTTGTTGTAACTCGTTATCCTCATTTCATTAAGAGATGTTATAGACACTGATGGCTGTAAACAGGAAGGATCTCTTGTAAAGGTCCATCCAACAGTGGATCCTAAGAAACTGGCTGCAGATGCCGTCTGATCCGTCCACCCAGACTCGGCTGGCATCTCGGTTCCCCTCGGGCTGTAGGACCGCCCAAATGCTGGGCAAAACTCCTCCCAGAGCGATGGCCACTCCTCCCATCAGTCTGCCGAGCTCCTCGTCACTGCGGACAGCCAACTGTAGGTGCTGAAGGACGATCCTGTCCTTCCGCAGTCACGAGCCATGTTTCCTGCTAGTTCCAGGATCTCAGTGGTCAGGCACTCGAGCACAGCTGGCAGGTAGATGAGAATGCGTCCACAGAACATCCTTTTCAACTCACTTGAGATTTTGGGCTGTAGGTGAGATATTATTTGAGCTTTTGAGATGTTAATCAGCTGCTGTTGTTGTAGAAAACAGCCTTGTTGCCATAGTTACGCATCATAACAAATGTCCAAAACTAAAAAAGTTTCAGTAAAAATCCTTCCAGCTGCACAGCATCTGATACCAGAGGAAACAACCATCCAAAAAAATGTGATTTACATCCAGAAAAAGAGGAATTAAAGTTTCCAAACGCAAAATCTCAAAATGAATGTAACAGAGCTGCTCCAACATGCAGCCACCTTGAGCGGCGCAATTCTAGAACACATGGATGCGTGGTAATGTGCCGTAAAATACCCAGCCATACATACATCCATTATCTCAATGGGCTTTACCTGTATAAATAAAGGTTGATCTTTACCTGCTTCTTTCATTTTGGGTCACGGGGGTCGCCGGTGCCCATGTCCAGCAATCACTGTGCGAGGGGCGGGGTACACCCTGGATGGGTCGCAAGTCCATCACAGGGCCACATAAATGGCTAGAGGCTAGATAAATGAAAAATGTTACAAAAGGCAAGCTAAAAGCATTAAAATGTTATCAAGAAGCTAACGTTAGCAAAAAGCAAGTTAAATTTTAAAGTATCCAAAGATCAGACAAAAGCAAAAAGTAACTAAGAAAGCTAAAAGTAGCAAAGGCCTAACTGAGAACTAAAGTAACAACTGGTAGCTAAAATGAAGAAAAAAAAAAGCTCATGGCTTGAAGCTAAACATAGCAGTCACTGAAAGCTAAAGTAGTACAATGACAACATTAAAAGTAATATAAGTTAAAAATCGAAGGAGCATGCCAATGCAGATTTTAGAGGACATGTCAGCATATTTCTTTAGGGGAAATATTTACCAAAAAAGCTAAATTATCTGAAAAGTAGAAAAGTTACAAAAATTAAAGAAACTTAGCACTGTTAAGCTGAACCTTTTGATGTTTAAATGACTAAAATGACATAAAGTATCCAGAATTCAAATGAAAAACAAAATAGGAAAACAATGTGTTCATTTATTCACTTTGTTACAAATTCAGGTTAACTATAGTCCAAAATAAAGACAGTGAATAAGTTAAAGGTTTGGAAGTTACATTTTAACAGGAAGGAGCTTTATTTTATACATTTTTATTATTGTTGTGGACACCAAGTGATTTTATGTCAAACAAAAAAAAACAATGAAACTTAAAACACTTTTTGTCCACAATAAATGTAAATTTTAAGCTTATAAAATATAAAATGCTTATAAAATGTGTGTCTTTCTCTTAATAAATGCTGAGCTGAAGTGATGTGGAAACCTGTGGACATTATTTCATGATACTGGAGTAAGTCAGATGCTATAAGCTTTAAAAAAGTGAATTTAAAATGATTACAAGAAGAATAAAACATAAACTGGACAAAAAAGCACAACAATATAAAGTTTTAAAATGTGGACACCCCCCAGTAAACATAGTGGTGATGATAAAACTGTGCCTTTAAAGGAAATGCAAAAATACTTGCTGAGCTAAGAGGTAAAAATAAATGGATAAATAAATTCAGCAGGGGGCAGCGAAGCAAAGTGTAAATAATCCCTTCTCTACTTCAAGACAGATTTCCTGTAAAGCTGCACACTGAGGGCTTTAAAAATCATTTTATTGTTGCTCCTCCAAACTTGGGCTAAAAACAATAATCTGACCAGATTTTGTGACGCATCAGAACATTCTTGTTAATTAGAAATCGCAAACGTCACTTTCCTCAGAACAAAATGACGTCACCTTTAATTCATCTGTGTTCTGGACTTTGGACTCCAGATCCAGGGACATTTTTTTTTTGTCTGAAACACAGTTCTCTCTGGAACAAACCAAGTTTTCCGAGCGCTACAGTCATCATTTATCCATCAACAGTCTGACTGACTAACAACAACAGTGTGAGAGTTTCTCCTGAGAAGAATTGTTCATCAGATATGAAGGTCAAATCTGCAGCTGGAAGCTCGAAACACGTGAATGACAAAAGTGACATCATTTGTCCCAAGAAGTGAGACATCTGAAGACAAGAGGACGGCTCTTCTGCACGTATGAAATGTTATTTTTGATTAAAAAGGATGTGGAATTATAGATAACTCCAAAATGTACCCAGTCAAACCACATAATGCTACAACAGACACTTAAATCATCAGGGGTCTACAACTGGTTAACTCTGGGAGTCTAAAGTGACTGCCGCAGCTACACCTCAAAGCATAAAAAAAGGTTGTAAGTGAGTTAATTTTAGAGGTATTTATTTATAATTCAGTGTGGTAGTAGCTGAGACTGACCCCCAGCAAATATTCTGAGCCATAACTGATTGCGCATGATCTGAAACTTTGCCTTTGTCTGTCTTTTAGCAAAATATTTAATTAACAGCTGAAGTGATTTTATCAAATCTTTCAGGAAATAATGTTGAGGCGTTACACCTCGTTAACCTTTGGAGTCAGTTCAGTTCAATATGGCTGCCTCAGCTGTTCCAACAGAATAATGAGCATAACTCACTCAGTTTCACAAACACTGAGCTCAAATTTGATGCGGTAGTAGCTGAGGGTCACTCATAACACATATATGACAGCATGAGATTTTACATCATGGTTTTTTCAAGGTTTGACCAAAACGTCATCAACACTGATATTTCTCATCGTCACGACATCAAACACTCAAAGTGAGCAAAAATACTTTCTACTATATTTTTCAGATTATAAGGCGCATTAAGCGAAACAAGTTCATTTTGACAGATTTTTGAGCACCGTGTACCACATAAAATCAGTTCGAGGTCAATAAGCACAATTAATACATCAGACACACCGGATTATAAGGCTCACTGTTGATTGTTGAGAAAATTAAAGGATTTTAAGTGCGCCTTATAGTCTGAAAAATACAGAAGTTTATTTGTTCTGAAATGGTCCCATTTTGACTCTTCGAGCGTTCAGCTGAAGTCACTTCTGTGCAGCCTCACTGTGGGCGGGTCCATCAGATACCTGCTTACAGGTGAGCAAGTCCACCCATCCCACCCTGATCCCGTCACCAAAAGTTGTCCAGTTTACTTAGATGCTCAAGGTATGGAATTACCTCTGTATTGAACATTTTTGGAAATATATATAGACAAACTAAGATTCTGGAAGCTCTGTGGGGGCCACAGAAATTATTCAAATGTCCTCATCCAGCCCACGGGCCGCTTGTTCTACAGACCTGCCCTGTTTAACCTTCAAACTGTGAGTTCCCTGTGATAAGGCAGCACATTATCAGCTGTCATAAACATGCAGTTACATTTGTTTCTGTTAGCTCGGCGCCCACTCACAGATAACATGAGCACACGGATGTGTCAGAGTTCCTCACGGTTAATCAAAGATAAAACTGAGACTGTGACGCAGGAACATTACTCCCTGTAATGTTTAGAGCTGTTTTAAAGATTTTATCATTTGGTATTAAGCTTTGCCATTATTTCTAAGTGTGCGTGAAATCCTCAGAAGAACATCACCAGGTGTACATTAACGATGTAAA